TTTCGACCACTGTGGAGGGGAAGTTGCGGTCCTTGAAAAATGAGGACCTCTGGGATGTCCGGGAGTGGAATGCCTCTCTCAGGAGCAGATGCGGCGGAGGCGAAGGAATTGGGAATAGGGGATGGCCTTTTTGCAGGAAGGTCGGTGAGAGGAGGTGTATTCTAGGTAGCTGTGGGAGTCAGTGGGCTTGAAATGGATATCGGTTTCCAGGTGGATGCCAGAGATGGAGACGGAGAGGTCCAGGAAGGAGAGAGAGGTATCAGAGATGGTCCAGGTGAACTTAAGGTTGGGGTGGAAGGTGTTAGTGAAGTGGATGAACTGTTCGAGCTCCTCGTGGGAGCACGAGGCGGCGCCGATACAGTCATCGATGTAATGGAGGAAGAGGTGGGGGATAGGGCCAGTGTAGCTTTGGAAGAGGGATTGTTCCACGTATCCTACAATGCAGAATAACACCAACAGCGTGGTCTCACTAATGCATTGTATAATTGAAGCATAACCTCTTTTCTATTCAGTTGCCCTCTCAATAAATGATAACATGCTAATAACTTTCTTATTTATTTACTGTACCGACTAACCTTATGTGATTTGTGCACTAAGACACCTAGATCTGCGTCTTAGAGTTCTGCAATCTTTCACCATTTAGTTAATGTGTTCTTTTTCATTCTAGCTGCCAAAGTGAAAAATTTCACATTTTCTTACATTACACGCTATTTGCCCACTCAATGAACCTATCTCTAAACTATGTGTTTTTCTTCTGGAAGCAAAGAAAAATCCTGATTCTTCTGTCTGAAAGCAAGCTAATGCTCTTCAATGTTTACACTCTGTTTATAAAACTGTCCCACTGCAAATAAATTCCCATTGTCACTTCAGGGACTGTCTCTCATACTGGTTCAAAAAAAAAATCATGGCTTGACAATACTGACAAGTTTCTCGTTTATACACAGACTAACGCCCACATGGTGCTATTTCTAAATCTAAACTCTAAAATAAATTATATCAAAATGTGTATCAATCACACACATTACATCATAATGCACAAGTGTACAGCATTAGTGTTCAAAAACTCTTCAGTCGAGAGCATATTATATCCATGTTTTAACGTTTTCACCTATGTGTGATTTTTATTTATATCCTACAAAGAGGCAGGCATAGCATGGGCCCATGCGGGTACCCATGGCCAACCCCTTTGTCTGTAGGAAGTGGGTGGAATTGAAAGAGAAGTTGTTGAGGGTGAGGACGAGTTCGGCTAAGTGGAGGGGGACTGGTCGGGCCTGCGGGACAGGAAGAAGTGGAGAGCCTTTAGGCCATCTGCATGGGGAATGCAGGTGTATAGGGACTGGACGTCCATGGTAAAGATGAGGTGTTGGGGACCGGAGAATTGGAAGTTTTGGAGGAGGTGGAGGGTGTGGGTGGTGTCACGGACGTAGGTAGGGAGTTCCTGGACCAAGGGAGAGAAAATGGAGTCGAGATAGGTGGAGATAAGTTCAGTGGGGCAGGAGCAGGCGGAGACAATGGGTCGACCAGGGCAGTCAGGTTTGTGGATTTTGGGAAGGAGATGGAAATGGGCGGTGCGTGGTTGGGGAACGATGAGGTTAGAGGCTGTGGGTGGGAGGTCACCTGAAGTGATGAGGTTGTGGATGGTTTGGGAGATGATGGTTTGGTGGTTGGGGGTGGGATCATGATCAAGGGGGCAGTAGGAGGAGGTGTCGGACAGTTGGTGTCTGGCCTCGGCGATGTAGAGGTCAGTGCGCCATACTACAACTGCGCCTCCCTTGTCCCCAGGGTTTATGGTGAAGTTGGGATTGGAGCGGAGGGTTGCACGTTCTGTGGGGGAGAGGTTGGAGTGGGTAAGAGGGGTGGAGAGGTTGAGGCGATCGATGTCTCGACGGCAGTTCGAGATGAAGAGGTCGTGGGAGGGTAGGAGGCCTTGGGTTGTTGTCCAGGAGGAGGGGGTGTGTTGGAGGCGGGAGAAGGGGTCAGTAGAGGGATGGTTAGGCTCACGGTTAAAGAAGTAAGCGTGGAGGCGGAGGCGGCGGAAAAACTGCTCAATGTCCAAACGTGAGTTGTATTCGTCAATGTTCGGTTGGAGGGGGACAAAGGTGAGTCCTTTACTGAGGACTGACCGTTTGTCCTCAGTGAGGGGGAGGTCTGGGGGGATGGTGAAGACTCAGCAGGGCTGGGTGCTACAGTCTCCTCTGGAGCTGCTGGCTGTGGAGCTGGTGGGCGGAGCGAAGTTGGCGGTGGGCGGAGCGACGTCGGCTGGTAAATCTTGGATGTTGGTGGCAGTGGCGTCCTCAATGTCTGTGTTGGCCTCGGAAACGGAGGCGGTGGCATCAGCAGCAGTGTTGATGACATTGGCTGTACCAGAAGTGGCGTACCGGGCGGCGGCAGATGTGACGTCATCCGTGGAAACCATTGGTGCTCTGAAGGTGGCCACATGGCCAATGGCGGCGGGCACATGGTGGGGAAGGTCCTGGGTAGGATGGCAGGCACCAGTAAGTTTAAAGTACTTTTGGTTTTTAGTGTCCAACAAAGCCAAGTAGAATCGTGATTTCAGGTTGTGGATCCTACGAAGAATAAAAAACAGGAGAGGTCCTTTGCAGGTCTAGGAGAGGGAGGCTCTGAGCTGGGGTAGGCTTAATTGTAGTATCTGGAGATGCTGGCGCATTGCAACGAGTGTGTATTTCAGGAGTCGCAGGGAGAAACGCTTCTGTAGGATATCAATGTTCTGAATGTAGCGGTGGTCGCGGTTGGGGCCAAATTGGGAAGGCTTAAATGTAGACTGTAGTCCGTTGGGGATGATCCAGTTCCGTAGGCAGGTACTCAGAAAGGTAACGTGGCTGTAGTACCTGGTTTGCTTTAGGACGTGGTCGAGCAGTTTCAGGGCCGAAGAGATTACAAGAGGGTTGCAGTGGGAGAGGGATACACTGAGGTTTTTCCGGAGGGAGGAGGGTAACTTCTTTAAGGTGGGCATCCTTAGAAGAGACTTCGCAGTGGGGTTAAAATTGTTACAGAGATTGTAGGAACTGCCGATGCCGGAGAGATGCCGATAATTTCCTGCATTCTGCCTCCATCCCTTCTTGAACAGAAAGAAACACTATTTGCTACTATTTTCCAAACTGTTGGAACCCTTCTTGAATGTAACAAATTCACCAAAAACATCTAATACTCCATTCCTGTTTCCTTCAAAACTCTAGAATGAAGTCCATCAGGACCTGGAGGCTTATCAACCCATAGTTCCATCAGTTTGCTCAGTACCATTTCCCTACTGATTATAATTTTACCAAGTTCATCTTTTCCTTCAATCCCCTGATTTACTGGGATATATTTTGCATCCTCTTTAGAGAAGTCAAAGTAAAGTATTTATTCAATACATCCATTGTTTCTTTATTATCTACTATTCTCATCCTCTAAAAGGCCAACAGTCCTTACTTATTCCTTCCTTTGTTAGATATCTATAAGTACTTTTGCTAACTATTTTTACATTTCCAGCTAGCCTCCTCTCATGCTCTAAATTATTGTCCCGATCAAAGTTTAAGTCATTTTCTGTCATTCTTTGTATTCTAACCAATCATCTGACCCGCCCCTCATCCTTGAGCAAATTATATGCTTTTACCTCAAGTCTGATGTTTTCCATAACTTCTGTAGTTAACCACAGACGAATTCTCCTTTATAGTAGGAATGTACTTTTTCCGATAATTCTGAAGTACTCATTTAAATGTCTGCGACTGTTTCTCATCTGATCTATCTCCTAGCCTAATATCCGAATTCACTTCAACTGCTCAGCTTTCAAGCTCAGATAATTGTCCTTATTTAAGTTTTAAATACTAGTCTTAGATCCACTTTTCTCCCTTTCAAACTGGATGCAAAACATATTAGAGCTGCTGGTACCTAGAGATGCCACCATTCTGAGGTCATTAATTAATCCTGTCACATTATATAATGCCAAGTGTAGTATAGTCTCTTGTCTGGCTGCTCCAAGCAACTATCTTGAAAACATTCTATGAACTCTTCATCCAGGCTTCTACTGCCAATCAGAATTTTCCAGTTTATAGTTTGGTTAAAATTAGCCATGATTATTGCCATTGGTTATCAGTATTATTAAAAACAATGCATAACTTTAAGTTTCATTTATATTTTATGTGCAAGGGGAGGACAATATGATTTTTAGCTTCATTGTTTAAGAATTATTTTGGGCTTCCTGCCAAGAAGTTTGAAGGTCTATTTTGTTTACATGTATTTAATGAAGCTTTACAACCTTGACTTGAAGAGCTGGGGAGGCTAATAGATCACTGCATTTAAAAAAACTGTTACTGAAATAAAACAAAATAACTGTCAATGCTCGAAATCTGAAACAGAAATTACTGGAGAAACTCAGTAGGTCTGGCAACATCTAGTGATACAGAAAATAGCAGAACAATTGAAAAAGTATAGCAGTCTTCATGTGGGTATGCTAGAAAGCGATGCCACATTACATAATACCAAGTTAAATACAACCTGCTCTCTAGTCTGTTCCCAGAACGTGCCATTCTTACAGATTACGCTTGAAAGCATTTTACTAATTCCTGTGGGTGAACTTAGTCCTATAGGTCAAAGTTTAAAAATAAGGTGTTTTGCATTTAAGGCAGAGATGAGAAGAATTTTTTTCTCACAAGATGTTGAGAGTCTTTGGAATACTCTTTCTCAAAAGACAGTGGAAGGAGAATTTTTGAATATTTTTAAGCCAGAGGTTAATAGATTCTTTATAAGTTGGTGTTTGAAAAGTTATTGGGAGTTAGCAGGAATGTGGAGTAATAAGATGAGCCACAATTGTATGGAATGATGGAGTAAGCTCAAGGGGCCAGATGGCCTACTCCTGCTCCTAACCCATATGTTTAAAGCATGCAAGAATGAAAGCAAATATGATCCATCGTATGTTCCAACTCACCATAATGATTTACACTATTAATGATCCTCACCCCACCTTCAGCACTGTGAGTTGACAGAAGAATAATTTCAAAGAGTTGCTTTTCATCAGGATTTCTTGCCAATAACTTGTTATTTACCATTTGAATCGCCTGAAAGATGCAATAAAGGAAATTAAAATGTACTATAAGGGCTAAGGAGGAGAGAAGTGATTACTCATCCATAAATTATTGTTGCCATTCAACAAATACACAGATAGTTTTGAAGTATGAAGATAAAAGTATTGTGAGCATATATAATGGCTTTTCACATAAGGGCAATTCAAATTGTTTCACAAACTGAAGTGATCCGAGTGGTCTGCAACATGTAATGCATAAATTGGGATGGGTAAGAATCAATTGAGGGTACACGAAACTGAATGGCAATGATGTGTTGAAGAATCGTAAAAATTAAGAGCTTTTAAATTAATTTCACATCTCAAAACGCAACAGTAAAATATTGCCAATATGCCTTTTGAATTGCCTGAATGCAAGGCTGTGAATAGTTCACAGAATGGCTGGAGACAGACCCAGGGCTTAGTTTGCAATTTACCTTGACAAATGGGGCAACAATGCCCTCCTTTAGTGGTATGTTTTCATTGGTGATCTGATGGTTCACATACTCTTCTTTTCCTTCTGTCAAGAACAACTCATGCTCTTCTTCCATATCAAAGAGAGCCCGGGCTGAGATAGCAATTGACACGGCCTCTTTTGGGTCTTTCTGCATCAAAAAGGTGGAAAGGAGAGAAAATGGCTATTGTAACGCAGGATAATATATACCTCATTCATATCTCAGCAGTGGTAATGGAGAGGATTCAGGTTACAAATTGTTAAATCTTGCTTCCATTATTACTCCACAATGATTTCCTTCTTATTTGCTTGTTCACTGGAAATGTGGATGTTGCTGGATAGGCCACTACTTATTGGCTATCCACATTTACCACACGAACAGAGGAGCTAGCTAGTGCCATTACTGAGAATAATTAAGAGTCTACCGTATTGCTGGAGTTACATATAGGCCAGAACAGATAAGGACAGCAGATTTCCTTCCCTAAAAGACATTAGGGAATCAGATGTGGTTGTATGACCATCAGCATTTGTTGCAATGGTCACTATTAGGCTTACTTTTTAAGTCCAGATTTTTAGTGAATTCATATTTCATGATTTGCCTGTGATGCTATGGAACTGGAATACTTTTGCACAATAAATTTTGAATGTGCTACCCAATAGCTTTGGGGTGCTGTACATCATAGGACTAGGATCTTTTAATGCTCATGTCTATCACTGATCAACTTGTTCAAGAGGATAATCCTAAACTCTAACAACCTATAATAGATTGTGATCAGGGCATGGAATTCCATATAACAGGTCATCCTGAAATAAGATTTGTTTTCCAGAAAAATAACGAATGGAGGCAAATCATTTCTTAGAAAAGAAGGAAATAAAGACATGATGAAAACAACTGTGCAATGAAAAACTACAGCCTCAACAGTATGACTAACTCTTTGGATTCCAGGAGAACTTTATTTCTAAAAGCAGTAACAAAAACAGAAGTTGCTGGAAACGCTCAGCAGGTCAGGCAGCATCTGTGAAGAAAAAAATCAGAGTTAACGTTTTGGGTCCGGTGACCCCGAAACGTCAGCCTTCCTGCTCCTCTGATGCTGCTTGGCCTGCTGTGTTCATCCAGCTCTACACCTTGTTATCGCAGATTCTCCAGCATCTGCAGTTCCTACTATCTCTGACCCTTACGTTAACTCTATTTCTTTCTTCACAGACGCTGCCAGACCTGCTCAGCTTTTCCAGCAACTTCTGTTTTTGCTCCTGATTACAGCATCCGCAGTTCTTTTGGTTTTTATTTTCTAAAAGCAGTACCTCGATTTACTTCAATGGGCAAAGGCAGGATAAGGAATTTCACTGAATCCCAGTTCTAATACCATCCTGTTAAGTAGTCACTCAATGTTGAAGTTCTCATCCTTGCATTCAATTTTTCTAGGGCCTCACCCCTCTCTCTCTCTGTCAATGTCTCCAGCCCTAATGCCCATTAAGATACCTTTCAACAGTAAGTGGCTGGCAGCACCCAGCTATCTCCCTTTTTTTCCCCTGGAGTGCAGGGGTGTTTTAATGTCTGTATTCAAAATTGTGATCTTCGTAGCATGCTAGCTCACACACCATGAAGTCAGGCTACCGACACATATAATCCTAGGTTGAAGTTCACTTTTGACCTCTGCCTTGTTTGCATTGTTGAAAGAGAAAACACAAATATGTGTCTTCCTCAAACTGCTGTCATTTTTTTTACCATCATGTTCACAGTGTGAGAAATTCACAGGGGACTCCAGATCAGATTATAGGTGCATTTCACCCTTAGCAGGGTCCAACACCTGCAGATGTGACATTCCAGAATTCTCTCTCCAGACAGCCACTGGATTTATATCGGTAGTAATTTTGGCTCTTTTAGTCCTCTATTAAAAAGCACATATTAGAATTTAAAAGTTTGATATGTGCATTTGTGATGCATGGTCATGAAACATTCAAACAATCTTGATTTAAGAATTCTCATCCTTGTTTTCAAATCCCTGCATGGTCTTGCCCTAATTTTCTCTGTAATTCCCAGCAGCCATTCAACTGTTAAAGTTATCTGTACTCCTAAGATCCTGGTTCATGCACATTCCAATTTGAATTTTTTCATACTGGTGGCCATTGCCTTGGTTTCCAAGCTCTGGAATTCGTTACCTTCACCACTCTAATTCTCTACCTTGTGTTCCTTCTTTAAGGCATTCCAAAAACCACACCTTTTTACGCTAATACTTTTATACAGCCGCGCACAGTCACATGGCTACGGAATAGCAAGAAACAAACTTTCAGATATGATAATGGCTGATATTCACAACCACCCAGTCCACAAGTCAAAAGGAAAGTGAAGTTTCAAAATTACATAAAATGACGCAGATGTGTTATATTAAACTGAAGACAGGCACTGGAGTAAAATAAGGCGTCTATTGTATGTCTTGAAAGAGGTAAATTTTCAATATGTAAATTCCAATATTTTATTTGAGATTTAAGCCTTATGTGCAAGAATAAGACACCTGTGTTTATTAATCTTATCACTTGGTCCAGGACAGGGCTGCCAAGTTTGGAATACCTAAAACACTGAAGCTTTCATTTTCCCACAGATTGAAACTGCATTTCAGTGAACAAAGGTGCGATGTGGTTTACTTTTCCAACAGACAAATTGTACACATCAAAGCCTGTGCCAAATGGTGGTTACAGAACAAACAGCAAGCTGAGAATGACCGAGATCACAGCATGGTTAAAAAATTGCAGAACTGCAGAAATTAATGTGCACATTGTTAAAAGACCTCAGGGTTTGCAACAAAACCAGCATAGCTACTGACTACCAAGAAAGGAAGACATGAAATTCAATAAGTAATTTGAAACTTAGATTTCCTAACCATAAAGTTACATTTATACAAACTAAGAGGCTGGAAATAAAATAAACCAACTTCTGGGACGACGATCTTTCCACCTCAAGGGGAAGATCTGAAATATTTGACAGAACTGCTGAACTTACAGTGTGTTTTTGGAATTTCTGCTTTTGTTTGTTAATAATCTCATAAAAACACTGATAATTAATACACAACCTACTGATCTTTTGCAAAATTCCAGACTTTAAATCTACAATGGGCTAGCTACACCATAAATTTGCAGATAATACAAAAATTGATGCAGTGCCAATTAATGAAAAGGATAGCCTTAGATTACAGGAGGATATTGACAGCAGTGGCAAATGGAATACAATCTGGATAAATGTGACGTGATGCACTTGGGCAGCACAAACATGGCAAGAGAATACATAATGAATGATAGGATCCCGGGAAGAACTGAGGATCAGAGGGACATTAGTGCGCATGTACACTGCAACTGTATAAAATGTTGGTTAGGCCACAGCTGGAAAATTGTGTGTAGTTTCTGAATCCACATTATAGGAGAGATGTGGTAGCACTGGAGAAGATGCAGAAGAGATTTACCAAGATGTTGCCTGGACTGGAAAGCTCCAATTATTAAGATAGACTGGACAGACTGGAGTAGTTTTCCTTGGATCAGAGAAAACTAAAGGGGACATGATTGAGAAGTATAAATTTATGAGAGACATAAACAGGACAGATGGGAGGAAACCATTCCCCTTGGTGGAGGGATCAATAACCAACAGGCACAGATTTAAGGGATGGGGCAGGAGGTTTAGAGGGGATATAAGGAAGGTTTTTTCATGCAGAGAGTGGTGGGAATCTGGAATTCCATTCCTCTAAAGGTGGTAGACACAGAACTCCTCATAACATTTGGGAAGCATTTAGATATGCACTTGTGATGCCAAGTCTTACAAAGCTATGGGCCAAATACTGGAAAATGGGATTAGAATAGTTAGGTGGTTGCTTATGACTGATCTGGACACAATGGGCTGATGGCCTTTTTCTGTGCTGTACATCACTATGACTCTATTTGAGGCCAACCTAGTGCTCCTACGCTAACCTCCTCATCATGTTTTCGTGTGGTTATCATGCGATCATGACAGCAATGACATAGCTTCCAATAAAAGCATAATACTGCAGGTGCTGGAAATTTGAATAAACACAGAAAGCTCTGGAAAAGGAATGCCTCATCACTGAAATTTTATATCAGCATAAATCAGGTATGGGGAAGAGCGGAAAGGAACTGAAATTTACATTTTCATATTCATGTCAGCCAAAAGTATTTCCTATAAGAACTTTCTGGGTGGGAGTGAGGCAGAATGTTATAGTAGTTTGTATAAAAAAGATTGCATACCCTCCCAGTGCATGGGTTATGTCCCATTTGTGCTAAAATATTGACCATTGAATTTTGAATTTCATCATAATTTTAAAACCAGTGACTCTCATGGGTTAAATTTGCTTTAAAAAGGAAAATACACCAAATTAAAATGACCATATCAATCAGCTGACCATAAAGGTTAGCCAAGATTCATGAAACCAACGAGAAATAAACAAAAATTAATTGAACTGTCATTAATATATTTATCAAAAGACACTGAAACTAGCGAAACTGGTCGGGTATAAAGAACCCTCACCTCCTGATAACCTATAAGTTTCATGTTTTAGAGACGAAAGACATCATCTGTCATTCTCCAAGTTGAAAGCAATGAGCCCAAACATTGAGATACATAAAACAGCTGTGTTTCAAGAAGCTGCTTTTGGCAGAGCAGAAATGATGGATTTGTGACAGCAAAACTGGAGAAAGCTCGCTATCTCTCTCTGCTTCTCAAAGGATAAAGCATAAGGTGACAACACAAATTACAGAAAATCATTCAAACACCAAGAATTTAAAGAGAACTACAATTCATTACTGCTGAAGATACAAGACATAAATTAAAGAGCTATGGTTATAGATTAAAATCTTTAACAAAAACACCTTAAGGACTTTAAACGGCAAAGTCATTTCATCTTCCTTTTGTATTCAATACCAACTCTATTTAATTTTGTACTTATGTAAATATACTTTGCATCTTTATTACTTTTCTTAGAGATGCAGATACTAAAATTGCTCTTTCTTTCACTCAAGGAAACCATGAAGTTGGCCTCATATAATACTTTATACATCGGATAACTACCTTTTCTTTCATTAGAAACATGCAGAGCTTTATTGTTAAAATGAACACAGATCTTTGTTGCAGCCAACTGGGTAATTTGAAAA